GTGTGTGAGAGAGAGAGAGAGAGAGAGAGAGAGAGAGAGAGAGAGAGAGAGAGAGAGAGAGAGAGAGAGGTGGATACCAAATGAGCTAAAATGAGAACAGCAATTTGGGCGAGAGACAACTTTGAAAGGAAAGAAAACAAACCACCGACCTCTCTAAATGCCTGTCACAAAGACATGATGGAGTATGCTACCGTCTTTTCACTCGAATAGAACGCCCGGTAATTATCGCCGTATCTGGGCTGAAAGTTGTGCCAAATACAGCCATAATGACGGGCGGGCGTTATATTCGGGTGAAGACGGTAGTGCGCATACTAGGGAAGTCGTGGCAACCATCCGATAGGCCGATCGGATGGCTATTCATGATGTACGTGTATCAATCATTGACAAGCACACACAGAGAGAAACCATGGACAGCCAAACTACAGTACACTAAGAAGAAATGACCAGACCCCCCAGTTAGTTAGCACTCACCGTAGAGAGAAACCAAAAAAAAAAAAAAAAAAAAAAAAAAATCCGAGTCCAGCTCTGTGGACAGAGGACAAATTGAATCCCTACTTCGTTGCATCCACATCACATTCTCTACTGTACTCGAAATGGAAAGCAGGACTACAAAAATTCACGGCACTTGGTCAGCCGTCTTAGTTAGGTGCAAACAGAACTAAGACGCAGGAAGAGGTCGCATCCATTGCAACCCGAATCACGAAACATAGGGTGCAAACAGAACAGGCATAGGTTACAAACAAGTACTAGAGGTTGCCACGGTGCCACCTTCGTTGAAATGCGCATGGGTACCCAAGAGTCTAGCTCAGCGGGTACACCCATGAACTGGTGAAAATACAGATATTACAGACCCGTGTTCATGATGGAACTTGATGAAAACCAAAAAAAAAAAAAAAAAAAAAAAAACCCAACCCTCGCAAGAGCGTGTTAACTCTACCCCCCAGTGAACCAGTCGTTAGAGCTCACGGCACTTGGTCAGACGTCTTAGTTAGGTGAATGATAAAGAAGTGGATGAAGTGGATGAAGGTACTAAGTTACTACTAACTTAAAGCCTCGTTCTTTTTTTTTTTTTTTTTTTTTGGGTACTACTAACTTAAAGCCTTATTCTACCGGGCACACACGTGAGAACGACGGAGGGAGCTAGCCTCAGCAGGTAAGACAAGCACACCATAATCAACCAAAAAAAAAAAAAAAAAAAAAAAAATTACAATGAGAAAGAATGATAGTTTCTAAAGGGGGCTT